CGATATCCGAGAGGGTTCACCAGAGCATCCGCAGGATCCACGAACCTTTTTGCGGTTTGACGTTGACCCTATACGTTGAGAGCGCGAGAGTTGCAAGAAGAAATGCGGCTCGAACAAGGCAGGACACCTGCGAACTCTTGGTATACGCAGGTTTGCAGTACCATTCGAACTGCCTGCCACCAGCGGGAACGCCAGGCCCACTGGCACCGCCAGAGGCGCCACAGGCGCCGGCACGTCCATTAGGCAGGCGGTCTGCACTTGCGAAAAGGGCATGACTCAGCCCTCCACCGCAACGTAGCGCAGATGCTACCCGCGGCGCTAGAAGTCATGAACTGACACTTGGGGTCCACGCGGGCGGAAGAGCAGCGGGGAGCTCCGACGATCACTTGCGCGTCAGTGGAAGACGCATAGGACGCGGGGGACCGCCACCGCCAGCACCTGCGGCTGACGCTGCCGTGGAAACTCGTCGCGCACCAAAGCTGCCCAACTGGGCCCGTTTTGGCGCCCCGGGTCAGTCCGCAGAACCTCTGGAGTTTTTAAACCGGCTACTGTCTAGGAGGAGCTCCGAAAACTACACTTGCGTTGGCGTCGTGCTAAGGAGCCCAAGATGAGGCTGATGCCGTCCAAGGTTGGCCGTGACACTGACAGGCTTAACCTCGTGGAAATCGCGCGCGGCTCTTGTCGAGAATGCCGCGCATGGGGCAGGCCCGGCAGTGCTGCGGCGCCATCGGCCGCCCGACCTTGAAATTTCAACGAAGAATGCGAGTGCGACGTTTTCTTTTATAATGCGCATCTCGTGTTCCACTTAATAGACCTTTACAGCAGGTTTGCGGCTGGCCAGGAAGTTCTTGGCAAAATTATGAATTCGGCATTTGGCGCATATTGTATGCCAATGCACACGGTCACTACATGTCCCAGCCAAAGTCCTGCATTCGGATGGCGAAGGTGCTCTGAACAACGACGCTGCCAAGGACATCCTCAAAGATAAAGGGGCCGAGCTGCGGGCTCGAGCACGCGGCCAACATGCTACGACCATGGAGTCAAGAAACGGGATCCCCAGACACGCCATGCATACGATGGAAAATTTGAAACGACGCGACATACCAGTGAACTTCTCCCGCCTGCTGCATGAAGCTGTTCTTGTGACGACGCCTTCACCTTCTACAACGGCGTGTCTCCGTGCCAAGTTCTACATGGCCGACAGCCGGCATGTCTACCGTATACAGCCAGAGACGTCTGGTCATTCACGGGAAGATCGGATATGCGAGAGTAGCATAGACGCTATTACTCAAGCGACCGTTGTTGCCAAGACTAGTAAAGCACTACGCGCTAAGACGACGCCACCAGGGCAAGTGCTCTACCGCGATGGCGACCTGGTAGACTACCACCGACCGGGCCGACCGACCACAACGACAGACGATTGGGGAGGCTGGAACGGCCCGCACCCAGTCGCACGCAATGACCCCGGACAGGGCCAAGCTATCGCACGGGTCGGCAATCCTGAAGCAGCCGTTCAGCATCCAGACTTACGCCACATTTTGTACGTCGAAGCGTGGATGGTTCGAGGTTTTGGTTTGACAAGGCAGCGCTTCGAGCTACACTTGCATTCATCGTGGGCCTGCCTGCGGTGGGGCCTGCGACGACTTCGGATACTTACCGACCAAGCAAGGGGACTCACGAATGACCAGTGCCAGCAAGCTCTTACCAGAGGTACACATTGCCCTTCAGTACCTGATCCGAAACTGTTTTCGGATCGAGAACGCGGTGAACGTGATCGCAGTCCTACTTGCGAAGAGCACGCGCCGACTGCCAGTTGTCACCTACGTTGATAGCTGCTTCCTGGCAAATTTGTCCACTACGATAGCGACGTGACACCACGGTTTCACTATATATGAGCCGCGTGGCATCATTGGGTCTACACGCACGGGTCATACTTTGCTTGAAGTCAACCAAGCCGATGGCTGGCTTCGACGAGGACCTCGCGAAGTTCGTGGAGAACACGGGCGGCCCTGGCCCTTGCGGAGACGCCCAACCGGTGGAGACGCCCGCCGCAGTGCCTCTTCCACCCGCGGGGCGCCCACCCACGGTTCAAGAAGAATCTGCGGCCGATCTAGAGGCGCGCGCCTTTGAGGCCCGGCGCGCGGAATTGCGCGAAGAACGCGAGGTCATGGAGACTGCGCCCTTGGAAGCATTGCACACCGCGCCGACGACCATGATCTCAGACCATTCGGTCGTGGCCACTGGCGCTAACGACGACCGAGGCACCCGACGTCGCTGAGACGAGAATTACCACAATGACGATGCACATTTCGTCCCCATCATTCCGAATTATGATGATGCCTTCACGACCGACAGCGACAACTATGGCCAGCATATAGAAACTCGCTCGGCGACTGATGCGACCAAGGTTGTGCTCGCCGAGCAAAAGCGTAACTTTGTGCGCGACGGTGACACCACCGCGCTGCGAATATTTGTTTCTGCTGCTTCTAAACGGGCGGCAGCGGCGAAAGATGATGATTTGCTAACCATGGATGAGATCCAAGCTCACGCATGGCAGATAAGCGAGCCTCTGCATGCGAAACAAAGAGTTGTTTTGGCAGCGAGCGTTTTCAAGATGGTTTCCCTCGCTGAAGCTTCAAGCGCCACGACGCCCCGACGCGTTGCAAATGGGCACTCGTTAAGACGATTCGCCTCCGATTGGTTCTCCGAGGATTCGCAGATCTGGAGGCCTTCGGCGTCGAAGCCCGCCCAGGGAAGCGCGGGGGGCGAGCAGGCGCGCGCTGGCCAATGAGGGGGGGGCTTGCCATCCTGACTGGATTACCGCGTCCATGGATACAGACGAGGCTTATTTTTCTAAAGGGCCTGGCGCGTCGCGAGCATGCCGAAGCGACTGGAGAGCGGGGGCGCGCTGCGCGCGCCGCCCTGCCGCCGGGCTCTGCTTCGGCGCGGCTTCGGACTTCGAGCAATGTCGCGCGACGAAGAGCTCGAAACATTGGAGGCGCGGCTGGCGGCCCAACGCGCGGGCGACATAGCAAAATGACGGGCAAAGAAGGAACGATCGATCATTCCGCGAAATGCTTTGAGCGCGCGTTTGGGGCGCGCAAGTTCAATGAGCGCATCTGCGCCAATTGCCGTCGGATGCGCGTGGGCCGACGAGGGCGTCGTCGCTCTGGATCGGGGCGAGCACGCCACGCCACTCCGCCCAGGCCAGCGCCCAGAATTCACGGGCGCGGAGGCCGAGGCAAAGGTTGCCACAATTGTCGAACACATGCGTTAGCCTCCGCGGGGCACTCGCACATGCCCTTATAGTCCAAGTCTGGCTGATGGCCCGCGTCGCCTCGCCACTGCGGGCGCGGAGGCCCGCGAACTCGCGGGCGCGACGGCCCAGCGCGACCGCGCGCAAGTTTCAGGCATAACGCAAGAAGATAAAGTATACCGCCATGAAGCCCACCAGAGAACTCGATCTCCGCGGCGACTCAGGTTACGGACGGTTGACCAGAGACGCTAAAGATGAGACCAAAGGGCATGGCATCAGAAGTGCCAACCTTCTCAGGCGCGGAAACACGCGCGATTGCGAACCTGTCGCGCACCTGACAGGCGCCCTCTGCAAGTCGGATCTGCCAGGTCGAGCTGCTCTGCGGAAGCGCGAGCAGCAGCCCGCAATCTAGAAGACTGCTACCCGAACATGATCACATTACTTTTTGATAGCGGGGCTGGCAGTACCAACGCAACTCGAGTATGTCATAGAGATTTGTGGTATATGTGTTCAGGTTGCTCGTGCTATCGACGCTGAGTCCGCATGTTAGTCCCTACCCAGCAAGGATCTTAATAAGTCTACTGAACGCACGCATTTGGGTCATATGAGCTGGGCCAGACAGATGACGGACAGGGATATCACACACGGCATGCCATGGTGTGCCCCGCGGGACATGACTGCAGATGGACATACCAAATCCAGTACAGACCGCGACTTACTGTTACAAGTGATGGTGGGTAAGATTCATATATCTTACAGGGCTCAGACATCAAAGGCTGAGCATAGCTCTCAATGGGCCGGCGGAGCACGCATTCCTAGCGCGGGGACACGCCGAAGCGAATGAACATTTGTTTGCCGCCTTTGTTTCTGTCTTCGGTGCTCGGTGCCTGCATTTGGTTGCGTGTGTGTTCGCGCTGATGTTGCGTTGTACGTGTGGACACACGCCGTTTTTAGTCAGCTATCTACTAACGTCGCAGACTCGACTTTGGCACTTTGCCGAGTCGGGCACAGCTTGCAGTGACCATTACTTGTGTCGCGTGTGACCCCATAGTTTCAAAGCTGTTAGGAGTTGAACAATCTCTATGATGGGTACGTGCGTACTGTAGTACTGTTTCGCAAAATCTCGCTCGACGCTCGCCACCGCTCGTCTTCCCCCCTCGATTCTAAACGTAGGTCAGAGGGCTGGGTGACATGTAAGCGAGCGCAGCGAGCATCCGTGCCGCCGTTTGCTGTTCAAGCGGCAGGCGCTATATTTGCCCAGATCGTAAGCGCAGCTATCGATGCACTGCCGCGTGGGAAAAGAGTCCAATTTCAGGACCCTCCCAACCTATCCTTTACCACCATTGCTACATCTCAAGGTTTCCACTTCTGTTGTTGCCGAACGGAAGGGGGGGAGAAGGAGGAGGAGGAGGAGGAGGAGGCCGTCGGACGACGAAGAGGAGGAGGAGGAGGAGGAGGAGGAGGAGGAAGAGGAGGAAGACGACGACGCCGACGACGACGACGACGAGGAGGGGGAGGAAGTGGGGGCGGAGGCGGATGCGGAGGCGGACAGGCTGCGTCTTCGGTTGGACCCAGACTCGGCCTCGCCTGCTCCGGCCCGTACAGCACGCTGCTTCTTATGGCACGTCCTCATGTCACGTTTTCTCTCTGCTTCTGGCCTTCCCCCATCCACTTTTGCCCCTTTCCCCCCTTCCCCCCTGCCCCTCTTCCACTTTCACTCCCCCTTCCCCCTGTCTGCGCCGAGGCCTATTGCCGTAGGCGACTGGATTGAGATGGACGTCGACCTCGACAAGAGCCTGGCGTGCTTCAAGATATGGCCTTGCGATCTCGGTGGGGGAAGGGTGGTCGCGAGTGCTGTGGGCCAGAGGTGTGATGAAACTGCAGAGCGCATGCGCGATTTGCCTGGGCCGTTCGAGTCGTTGAGCTTTGTTCTGGTTCGCCCCGATGGGCGGAACTGGAGGCCGTGCACCCCACCCCCCCGCGGGCGCGCTCTTCCATTTTGTGGGGCGTTCGCAGAAAGCGGAGGAGGGAGGGGCGGACGGGGTAGGACGACGGTAGATCCGCTCCTACAGCATTCTGGGACGCTCTGAGAAGGCCGCGGCGCCCGAAACATCCTCCAGAGCCGCCAGATTCCAGAGATTCTCGATTTATTCTCACTCGAATTTGTCCTCGTCCTGGCTTCGTCTTAGAGTCGTAGAGGGAGGAGTTCAGAGGATGCAGGATGCAGGAAGCGCTGCGGGGGTCGCCCCGCGCCCGTGCCGAGGAAAGCGGCAGGTCCGCCTCGCCTCGTGGAGGGAACCAACAAAAAACATCTTGCCAGCGCTTACAGGGGCGACCGGTCAGTCGGACACCACCAGAGCTCCAGTCTGCGGTAGGTTCACGGGCGTCGGCGCGCCGGCGACGCCGGCGAAGATGTTCAAGGTTGAATTCTGCGACGCGAAAGCACCGAGAGGCACGGCAACGCCATTGGACCCGACGAAATTCAGCCTTGAACGATCGGGGCCGCGATCGATTCAAGGTTGAAGGATCGACGCGATGTCACAAACCGTTGCACGCGCCGACGCAGCACGAACCTATCGTCCAATTTCTTCGACCACCGCCCGTCTCTGTACTGATCGGCTTTGTGCGTCAGTATGTCTTTCCTTGGGGGAAGTCAGAGGAGGGAGGATGAATCAGGGGCGCTGACAGGATGGACTGGCTCATGGGGGGAATCATCGACCCCCAATCGCCAATTCCTCACTGATCGGGACCTGGGTGCCCCAACATTGCCCAGAAACGTGTGTTTTTCCTCCACCGGGCGCCTGTAGCCAACGAGTTGGCGATGCATCGCCGATTCCAAGTCAGTATTCCCCCCCCCATTCTAAACTGAGCCGGGCGTTGCATGTGAGTAGGATCGAGCGTGCATCCGCGGCTCCTTGGCTCAAAGCGGCCCGCCGCCCAGAGCTGACTACACCTCAGCGCGATGTGTACCATTTGCCATCGATTCCATAACTCCTTGAGATGGTTCGCCTGTATACAACTACGCAGCATAGCGAGGACACTTGCATTGACACCTCTGCCTACGCGGAGGCCTCTTATTTGCGTCCTACATCACTGCGCTGCTACACTCCTGAAGTCCACTCACCTACTCCAGTTGGAAATTTCTTCGAACACGTAATGCATGGAAACATGCGATACGACATTGCGCCGCCTCCACCCCCACGCAGGCTTACGACCACATATCGAAAACCCCAACCGACTACATCCGACCAACACCTGCGAGGCCATTGGATTGGTATTACTACCTTTGGGCTCACGTGCGTCGCTATTGGGCGTGCGGTAGGACATGTGCGTGGCGGAGACGACACAAGAACGACCGGCCCCCATTGGGACCCGTCTGGTCAAGTAGTCATCCGCGAATTCGTCCGCGAGGTACATGCCTGGATTAACGTGACCACAGGCAACATGACGCCCTCCCAACCAGTTACAGCCTTGCAGCGAGGCGTGGGAGGCCTCTCACGGACCATAGCCATGAGAGTTTCCCCAGCATTTATCAGTTCTGGTGTTAACATAGGTGGCCGCCATATCGACGGCGTTCCTCTTAAGCACGAAGTTCGAGAATACAGACGAGGAGCGCCAACTCAACTTTGGCACAGCTCTCATTGACATCCGAGTCCATGCGGGTGAACGGATCGACCAGACTTGAGCACGCTTCGAGATAGCCCGCTATGAAGCTGAAACGGTAGACTTTCACATCCCCAACTTCCAGATTTTAACGTTATTTTATTCGGATCCCTTGGAGTGGGGACATCGCGTCCACGGCAACTCCTGCAGCCACTAAACCAGCACATGCCGATGGGACCGGCAGCAGTTTGACTCTCTACTTGAACGCATGAGGTCATATGCGCGCATTGCTGAGAGAACCCCCGGCAATATTGGTGGCATTTTTAGTCACGGCCACCGAACCGAGACCTTCCACGTTGAGGCAAACGCAGGACAACCCGCCAATAACGTCTGGAATGGTGGACGGGCTTCGGGGTCGCAAGACTCCTGGGCCAGGCTTCGGGGGCCGACCGACGCGGCATCACCTGCGCAAGCCGCGGCCCTCATGGGCTCAGCGGGGCAACCTGCTGAGTCCGACTTCGGCTCCGGCACTGACACCGACGCGTCTTCGGACGACGAGGCTGCTGCCCTTGACTTCCCCGATGTGCATGCGTACCTCGCGGAAGAGTACCAGGCGCAATGGTTCTTCATAAGATACCACAAACATAAACGCAGGCGGAGGCGATTTATGAAGAGGCCATTTCGCAAAGCACGGCACATCGTCCGACGGGTGCTCAAAGGAAACGGCAAGGGTCGAGGTAAGGGTAAAGGTAAGCGTTGGGGATTGCATGGCAGATGCACGCTAGCATTCGCAGCACGCCGGGCCACAATATGAAGAGACATTCCTAGGGGCAGGCAGGCATTGCAGGCACACATCAGGAAAAGGCAAGGGGCGTCGGGGAGACCCGAAGGATGCCAACGGTCAAACTATGGAGCGCGACATATGCCATAGCACGCAGCACTTCCGCCGCGAATGCCTTCGGAGCGATGGGGGAGGCAGAGGTCCGTCGATGCATCTGGCTCAAACTGACTCGGATATACAGCATGTTGATTGGGGGTCACTTTTGGCCGACCCTGCCGATAGCTCAGTTGCAGTTGGTAATTCCATGGCTGCCAGATATTTGAGCGCCAGTATGTCCCTCGAGAATTACGCCGACGGGCTGTTCGAGGAGGTATTCACTGGCCACGATGATATAGATCTGGCAGACTGGCTAGGCAGACCCATCGCGGGGCAACCTGCGGATATTGAATTTGTCGAGAACTCCCGCGCGCCCGCCGAAGGAGATGACGAAATGGCGCGGGCGCCCGCGGATTCAGGAGCGACTATTCCTGCAACAGAGGAGGAAATGCAGTTGACGCTTCATCATCGGGCCGTTGACAATCCGACAAGCATGGAATTGAGCGACGGCGATCCTCTGCGGGGAAGCCCGCGAGATGTTAGCGACCTGCCTCGACGCCTTCTGCGTGGGCTCGGCTACAATGAAGGATTTCAATATGCATTCGCAGCTTCGGACCGCTCCATGAGCCGCCAGGAGCGATCGGCAAGCCACCAGTCCTGGAGACGCACGTGTCGCGCCGACGACGATGACGAAGAATGGGGAGATGGCGCCTGTCTGGCGCGTCGCGGTCGGGCCCGCGGCGGCTCGCCCGACCGCGCGCGCGCGCTCCAGCGGCGCCCGCTCTAGCGGCCTTCGGCGCCCTCGCCCCGCCGACGCGGGGGAGCCAAAGACCTCCCACGGAAGGTCGATAGACCCTGCACTCCCCGCGGAGGGGGCGCCTGCGGGGACGCCCGCCTCAAGGGGAACGCCCTCAGCGCCGCGCTGGCTACTCGGATGCTGGATCGGCGCAAGGGTTGGACTGAGCACCATATTCGTCACTGGCATTCTCTTCGCAAGGTTGGTCGACATGGAAAAGGCAAGGTCATTCGCTCAAAAAGGACAGGCTGTGAGCACACAAGAAGCCCTCATAAAGCGCGACTTCAAGAGGGCTATCGCACAGGAACGAACATTTTACAATGGCGTTGCTCGCACATGCTTCGCGCGCGCCGACCGCGGGCTCGGCTGCCCCGTGAGGCGCCCATCGCAGGACACCGCGGGCCTGGTCTCATGATGATGGTCGGGGGTTGCGTCACCGATCCGAATGCAACGCCATGGGAGGAGCAGTTGACGGAAAACGGTTACGACCAAGCTACAGCCGGAGAAATATCCCAATCTATAAAGATATGGAAACACCTCGCGATTGGAACGCGGGGAAGCCCGCTTCGCCCGAACCAGAAGAAGACGACCAACGAGGAGCTGGCGAAGCTGAAAGCATGGCTGAAGCGGTAGACCCTGCGACAGCAGCTCCTGCAGGGCGCGCCTCGGACTACTCCGAGGCCCTCCCCATTGTCGCGGACGTCGCGTGCGATGCGGACACCCATATTGATCCTAGGTGTGTTGCTGAACAAATGGATCTTTCCAGAAAGATGGGTCGTCTACCGCGCTGGATCCGGATCTGCAGGTCGCGTAAAATCCAGAATTAAAAAGAGGCTTACCTCTGACAAATACAATTTGACCATGAAGGGAAATGCCATTATCGGTAATATGGCACTCAGAAAGCTTGACGGTGCAGACCTTAACCCTGGCAGAGGACCCGTGCGATGTGGGCCATGGATACCCGCAGGGGCAACGCCTAAAGCACTTCTTTCTCCATCTTCGGATTCGTCGAGTCAGTCTAAGTCACTTGGGCCTGATGAGCTCAGACCACCGCCTCAACAGAAGAAGAGGAAAACAAATAATAATATAAAAAAACACACAGATGACCCGAATCCTGGAGATAGCAAGCAACAACGACCTGCGGGGCAACCCGCTGATCGACGTCGACCCAGGGGACCGGCAGCGGCCGCCGCAGCAGCTGCATTTCAAGGCGCCAGCACTCCTACTCCGAAGGGCCCCGTAGCACGTCGCGGCCCTACGCCAGGCTGGACACATAGGACTGGCTGGACGCCGTCACTGGAGGGATCATCAAAGGCTGCTTCTTCATCACGGCGCGGTGCCGATAAGAGATTCTGGGAAACTACATCAAAGGCATCAGGAGCAGCCCCCAAGGACAAGAAGTGCGAGTACTACCGCATCAATGAACAGAAACGCCAGAACTTCGACGTCAATGCCCCGGCAAGGACCCCTCGGACGCCCAGAGGATGCGCAGGCGCTGCCTCGTCATCGGCGGGCGCCTGTGCACCCGCAGCATCGGCAGCGGCTCAGAGTTCT